CTCCCCGTCACCCACCACCACCATCCTCCCCATCACCCACCACCACCATCCTCCCGTCACCCACCACCACCATCCTCCCCATCACCCACCACCACCATCCTCCCTGTCACCCACCTCCACCATCCTCCCTCACCCACTCCACCACCACCACCATCCTCCCAACACCCACCACCACCTCCCCGTCACCCACCACCACCCTCCTTCCCATCATCCACCACCACCACCCTCCCCAACACCCATCACCACCCACCCTCCCGTCACCCACCCACCACCACCCTCCCCGTCACCCACCACCACCATCCTCCCCTGTCACCCACCTCACTCACCACCCTCCCAACACCCACCACCACCCCTCCCATCACCCACCACCACCATCCTCCCTGTCACCCACCACCACCACCCTCCCAACACCCATCACCACCACCCTCCCCAACACCCACCACCACCCTCCCATCACCCCCACCACCATCCTCCGTCACCCACCACCACCATCCTCCCTGCCACCCACCACCACCACCCTCCCACCCACCACCACCCTCCCCATCACCACCCACCACCATCCTCCCCATCACCCACCACCACCCTCCCCCATCACCCACCACCACCACCATCCTCCCCATCATCCACCACCACCACCCTCCCCATCACCCACCACCACCCTCCTTCCCATCATCCACCACCACCATTCTCCCATCACCCACCACCACCTCCCATCACCCACCACCACCATCCTCCCCATCATCCACCACCACCATCCTCCCCATCACCCACCACCACCACCCTCCGCCATCACCCACCACCACCATCCTCCCATCATCCACCACCACCATCCTCCCATCACCCACCACCACCTCCCCATCATCCACCACCACCATCCTCCCCATCATCCACCACCACCACCCTCCCCATCACCCACCACCACCCTCCTTCCCATCATCCACCACCACCACCTCCCCATCACCCACCACCACCCTTCCCATCACCCACCACAACACCCTCCCCATCACCCACCACAACACCCTCCCCATACCCACCACCACCATCCTTCCCATCACCCACCACCACCATCCTCCCCGTCACCTCTATAGACTCCTCTTATCAAACTTTCAAAAATAATTTTTTTTTTTTCTGACTATTTTTACCATGGGGTCTGTCAGTCTGTCTCTCGCTGATGAAGTCTTCACCTTCATTTGTTCTATTGTGACTTTTGTTGTGTGCCTTTCTTTTATTATCAATATTTTTTATCACTCTCTTATTCCCATTTTCGTTCATTTATTCCATTGTTTCGTTATATTTGGTCTTTTTTTATTGTAAATTATTTGCGTTTGACGTTTGTGGGGAAATTTCAACACTTTATATTCGATGTTAACTCTTAAGTCGAGTGAAGTTGTTGATTAAAGTATCTTGACCCTTAGAGTATGATCATTTAATTATGTGGAGTGCAGTGACTTAATTCAAGGGTATTATGAATTAGTATTGATTATTGCATTGATTTGTTTCTTGCGTACGATGACTTAATTCCTTGAATATGATTACTTTATTCCCTAAGTACGATAACTTAAACCCCCGATGTTATTGTACTCCTAGGAAAAGGGGGGGAGCTGTTCTGTCGTTGTACTCCGGATCTTCAGTGGAGAATCTCTGTCCCAGCTTTACAGTTATCCAGGCGCGGGCTAAGTTGTCTTAAAGTTAAGACTTCCAGTTAAGTCATCTTGTGGGCGAGATATGGAAAAACTCCGATCCAACTTTTATTAAATTTGAGGCTGAAGAAAAATACTATTTCAATTTTTTTTATCACTTTCTCTCCTTCTTTCCACTTTTTCTTCTTTGTGATAAAATTGCCAAGTGCGTTATTAGTTTGTTTAGTAGACATAACAGCTGATGAAACCTGCCTCTCAGAATTACAACACATTGAAACAAACTCACAAAAGATTGGATTCCACTTTAGGGGAATCACGTATTTTTGTATAGTTTCAACACGAGGAGTTTATACGTGTCACCTTAAGATTAGCCCCCCCCCCCTCAGCTTATTTCACCTGATGATTAAACACTCTAACGTTACCTTAGGGGTTAGGATAGCGTTAGGGTGTTTATTTTTAAGGTGAAATAAGTTGAGGGTTCATTCATCAGGTTACTACGCTTGGGCTGGCAGGCAAGGCGGACAATAGGGCGAAATTTTGTCAGTTCGTCATAAGAGTAAAAAAATAAAACGAGTTTTACCTAGCATAAATAAAACCTAACCTAACCAACCTAACCTAACCTAACCCAACCTAAACCAACAACCTTTCACTAACCTAACCTAAACCAACTTAACCTTCACTAAACCTAACCTAAACCAACTTAACCTTCACTAACCTAACCTAAACCCAACTTAACCTTCACTAACCTAACCTAAACCAACTTAACCTTCACTAAACATAACCTAAACCAACTTAACCTTCACTAACCTAACCTAAACCAACTTAACCTTCACTAACATAACCTAAACTAACTTAACCTTCACTAACCCAACCTAAACCAACTTAACCTTCACTAACCTAACCTAAACATACTCAGCCTAACCTAAACAAACACCAGCTAAATTAACCTCAACAAACCTCTTCCTGACCCGACTAAGGTACTTCTGTACAGTTTAATGATCGTGAGCCAACAATAATTGGAGGTCCTGTAAGGGTGTAACATGAGACTCTTCGCTGTTTAAAGTAAATTTAGCCATCGTTATGTTACGAACCGCAGCCCATTGTCTATATGCACTGTTTTTAGTTTGATGCGAACCTTTGAAGTAGCGTACAAAAAAATCATGGACTCCCGAAAGCCAAGTTTTACCACATTGGATAAAAAAAAAAAAACAGGAACAAGCATTCTTAACAACTAGTTTAATTTGGGCCAACTTATGAGAGACTACTGGACAAACGCTAATGAGACGCAGATATAAACCCTCAAATGAATGAATCCAAGCGAAGAGTCTACGACCATTTCTTCGCTGTGTAGAACGTATTACTTTCCTGGCATTAACAAACTTGTGTTGTGGCCATTTACCCATTTTGTGTTCCCCAGTCATCGTTGTTAAACAATTTTATGGAGCAAATATCAACAACTTATGTTACATCCGTCGCAATTACTGACCAGCTATTTGTTGATGACGTAAACGAATATTTGTACAGTATTGCTTGTATTATAACTCTTCTTTTTCAACCATTAAATATTTTTTTTTATTATTGCAGGATGTGCGGCGGGGTACCATAGCCCAGGTGACTCTGACGAGGTGGACTACATCCCTAAGTATGTGCCGCCTCCCTCCACTACCACCGCGTCCCCTTCCAGGGCCTCCCACCTGCCCAACATCCTCACTTCCCTGGAGATCCCCCCAGCATACCTCGAGGAAATTCTTCGCCCGGAAAAGCCACCCTACAGGTCTTACAATGACCACCACCACCAGCTGCTCTACGAGCCACACCCCCAACAGGAAAACAGTCAGCTGTATGGCCAGCCAGATGGACACGAGAGTTACCAGGATCAGAAATCTCACGGGCACAAGTACCACGGACACAAGTACGTTCAGGACCACAAGCGTCGAGGACAGTACTATCAAGGTCAACAGTCCATTGGACAGACGCAGACCCAAGATCAGGAGTACCAACACCCCAGCTACAGGAGGAGGTCAAGTTTGGGGCCAGTACAACGGAGTGAAGGACCACCGAGATCAGAAGCCTCCATACCAGCACTACCAGGGTCAAAAGAACCAGAGCCAGAACTCAGGCTCGCAGGGGGACAGCAAGTCTCGTGATAAGGAGACCAACTACGGAGGTGTTTACACTGGGGGTGCCTCCCCCTCTGGGGGTATTTACACTGGGGGTGTTTACACTGGAGATGCTTCCTCACCCGGGGGTGTTTACACTGGTGGTGTTTACACTGGTGGTGTTTACACAAGTGATATATACTCTGGTAGTAATGATGTCAACTATGACAACACCAAAACTCCGGGCTCCAAATCACAATGGTCTTGGGATTCGTCGCATGAGAAAGAAACAGAAGACAACTTTGCCTTTCACGAAGGGGTGGAGAGCACCTCCCAGGGGCCACGATTCGACAGGAGCCTCCCACGGAAGGTGACGGTACAGGCTGGCAAGACGGCCGTGCTGGCATGTAGGGTCCTCGACAGCACTGAGAAATCAGTAAGTAATCACATTTGACACTTAATTGTATGATGTAGGTTAACTGCTGACAATGACAGTTAGAGAAAGAGTATGGAATTAAAGGAAGGGGAAGGTATTGACAAGGAAAGATGAAAAATCTATTTTTTTCTGTCATAATCATTTGTTTCTTATAGAATATGTGTAGGTGGAATTACTGCCTTCTTTAGAACCTCTGCTCCTCCTTCGTCACATATACTCTGTAACTTGGTGGACATCATGTGAACCAAGAATGCTATCATGCAATAGTTCCACAAAATAGTCTTCATCTAAGCTATAAGAGTTAGGGATAGGCCATTAATGATTTCAGGAAAGGTTGTAAGAAATGACCTGAGAGATAAGAACCTGGCGTGAGAGGCTAACTAACTCAAGCGTTGAAATTTGCCATAAAACGGTGGTGATGGTGATGATTAAACTGCCTAGTTCTTGCTTTTATTCTTTTTAACAGACGTTATTATGCACGCATTTATACTTTATTAATTGGGTAGATCAGTAGTTGTAATGGGGTAAACTAACCCGACGACCTTGTTAGCAGGTGTCTTGGATGAGGCACGAGGACCTACACATCCTGTCGGTTGGGAAATACAAGTACAGCACGGACGACCGAGTGACGGTGTCGCGGGAGGAGGAGCGGCAGGAGTGGGTGTTGACGATTGAAAAAGTGACAGAGGAGGACGCTGGTATGTACGAATGTCAAGTTTCTGCCAAGCCCGTCCTCAGCTTCATCGTCAGTCTCGAGGTCGTAGGTGAGCGGCCTGTATCTGTGTGTATCCGTGAATTAAAATGTTAAGAGACAGGTCTGTACAATAGCAAACGTGATCAACAACAACTAATTCTATATTGCCCTACACTACTACAAACTTAAACACACACATACGCACACACGTACACGCATACTTACACACACATGTATACACTACTACTACTACTTTGTTGTCACTCGGAATCGAGTATGACGATCATCCATCTATGATACAATGATACGAGTTATTAAGGATGTCACCTTCGTTGATGAGCTCTGAGGTGACTAGAGAGGCCGATACGGGACCAGCAGGGTCGTTCACAGATGTTGTACGTGTGGAGGGCTACATCTAGTGCAGGAGGAACGGCGGCAGCGTCTTTCCGGCGTTGGCGTTTGTCTGCCACGGTATGCAGTCGGGCTAACTCGAAAGTGTTGACACCTTCCCGTGTGGTGCTCCTCAAAGCGTTACAATGTGAAGTCATCGTCTCCCAGGTGAGGGGGTCAATTTGCCACTTTTTCAGGTTTGCCTTAAGACTATCCTTGTACCTTTTCATTTGCCCGCCAGCGTTACGTTTACTATTCGTTAGGTAACTGTAAAGTAGCTGCATTTATTCTCTCGCCTTCCCAACGAACTTGGAGGATGGAACGTAGACTACGTTGGTGAAAATTTTCAAGTGCCTTGATTTGCCTCCTGTCTGTGACCTATGTCTCGCTGCCATATAGCAGGGTGGGGAGGACCATTGCTCGATATACGTGCAACTTTGTAAATAAATTCAGCTCCCTACAGCTGAAGACACGGGTACGGAGTCTGCCAAAGGTTTGAGATGCACATCTGATATGATGTTGAATCTCTTCATCGATGTCCGTGGTGGTGGGCAGGTGGGAGCCGAGATACTGAAAGTGGGTAACATTAGAGAGGGTAGTGCCGTTAAGCTAGATGGTTGGTGGAGATGTGGCTGAACCAGGGGAAGGCTGAAAGAGAATCTGAGTCTTATGCGCATTCACCTCAAGGCCGAAGTGTACATACGCATCTGCATAGGTGTTCAGGATCTCCTGTAGGTCGCGTTCAGTGTGAGCGACAAGGTTGAGGTCATCTGCATACTAAAGTTCAGTGATGGAAGCTGCGGACACCTTTGTTCCTGCCTGGAGTCGTTTTACGTCCACCCCACCGGCTAAATTGGCACTGGCACGAGTAAAGATTTCAGTCAAGAAAATGAAAAAGAGTGTTAGTGCCAATACACATTCTTGTTTGGATGGGGAAGAACTCAGACTGGGTGCCACTGTGAAGGACACTGTCGTTCATGCCATCATGAAGTTGCCTCACAATGACGATGGATTTTGGTGGGCAGCAAAAACGGTTGAGGGTCCACCAGAGGTTTCCCTGCTGACCGAGTCGAAGACCTAGGTTAGGTCGATGAAGGCCATGTACAGGTCACGATGCTGTTCTCTGCACTTTTCCTGTATCTGGCGGGCAGCAAAGCTCATGTCAGTGGTGCCACGTGATGGTCCAAAGCCACATTGAGATTCTGGGAGGAAGCTTTCCGCCTCAGGAGGAAGTCTGTTTAGGAGGACTCGGGCGATAATCTTGCCAGCTACAGACAACAGCGAGATCCCGCGGTAGTTGCCACAGTCTGACCGGTCTCCCTTATTATAATTATTGGCGATGGAGGCGTCTTTAAGAGCTTGGGGGATTTCCTCCTTTTCTCATATATTCTCCAGGAGAGAATGGAGACGACTGGTAAGCAGAGGTCCTCCTGCTTTATACACCTCGGCTGGGATTCCATCAGGCCTTGAAGTACACACACACACACACACACACACACCACACACATACACGCACACACAGACACGCACGCACACACACACACGCACACACATACACGCACACAGACACATACACACACACGTGTACAAACGTACACATGCACACACACACGCACACACACACACACACGTGCACACACACATTAGCAGACATTTTCCATGGAAAAATTGCACTGGGATTTGTACGATTAAGCTTCCTGTATTGGGTTTACCCGTCACATAACTCGACCCCCCACACGCCAGATAGGACCCACGAATATTTTACTTTCCAGCATTGTTAGAAAAGTTTATCTGATGTCTCTATAAATCAGCCGAAATTAGTGTTATTTGAACGTGTAAAATTTCTGTAAAAGACGTAATTATTTTAATTACTTTGTAATATTTTTTTACAATTGTTTAATACATTTTCGAAACATTAGTAGATGGAATACCATACGATCAGTTAAGTCTCCATGTATGAATGCATTTAACTTTTTATGACTTTATGTTTTATCAATACATTTCAAAAACTTTTGTCCTCCCTTGAAATTTCGTAATCTTATAGGGTAACAGCGTGGGAGAGAGTGGGGTTTGTTGTTTGAATCCTGAGTAACTAAATATCGCAAGGGAAGCTCAGAACAGGACCAGAAAGGTTTTAAATCATACACTTCCAGTATTATGTCATACTCCAGTACTTATGTCTTTCACAAATAAAATTGAACGAATAGGATCCTCCTAACTTGATCGTGTTTTCTCTACTTGTGTGGTCATCACTACTACTGATTGGCTGAACAGTACCCAGGGCAGAGGTGGTACACGGGCCGGAGATCTTCGTGCATCGAGGGTCACTCATCAACCTGACGTGTGTGGTGACTCACGGCACCCAGCGACCTGTCTACGTCTACTGGTACCATCACAATAAGGTATTCCCCGACTATGCCATACCCACCCATAATGATGTTCTCGTCTGTTACTCACCATGAAACACAACTCATAGCCATAAACTATTGAAAAATCGTATAGCTATTGAAGACGAGTAACAAGTTTCATTATCGACCTCGGACCTTTGTAACTCTCCATTGCTGATAACATTGTATTATTACACGCCTGATAATGGCCTCGTATCTTGTCAGGCATGGTTCAATTCAATGTGTTAATGATTACATCCATTGTCAGTTTATGTTGTTATCGATGGTCCACTGTAAAAATATATTACTGGTAATTTAATCATTGACCCATTTAATTTTTTATTACTAGCAATGGTCCAATTCAATGCTGTTTTTGTTAATAGTTTTATAAGGTTAAACGTTCATTTCGCTAACCATTCACTAGTATAAAATTGTGTTGTTAACTACAATTCCCACCCAATGATGTTTTCTTTCATTATGTGTTGACGCTCGATAACAAACTGTGAAGAATTTTACTTAACTCTAACGTAGCTGTTTGTAAACTTTTTTCAGTAATTTTGGTTAATATAAAGCTCATTCGTTGAATATAACTCATTGTAAAACTGGAACATTAATTGTAGTCCTTTTGTAAAGCTGAATAGTAACTTAACTCCAATATAAAGTCACGTAAATCATTTCTGCAAATGCCTAAAGTATTCATCGAATATCTAAGCCTAGAGGTAACAACCTAAACAGTACAGTATAAAAAAACATTAAATACTTTATCAGTGTAAAAAAGATGGAAGTACAGTACAGTATACCTTTTATATCCTTTAATTTTTCCATAAAGACTTTATTGATCTACAGAGGTAATCATTAACCACCTAAATCATATGATAACCAAAAGAAAACACTAACAACTTAAACCACAAAGTCTCAGGCAAGCATTAACCATCTAAAGTTTATAATGACAGCCTAAAGGGTCTATAACACAGGGCAAAATTCCACATTCCTCGGGACAAAAACGGTCATACCGCCTTTCTCTGTCAGATTTTTCGCCTGAAAACGGATATCCGAGGAAGTGATTCGTACGGGAATTCTCGGGCAAGTTTTAACGGCATTTTGGGTCCAATTGAGGATTTATAATATTTACAATTCAAAGGAACTAATTTTATTAAAACAAATTAATAGAAAACCATTAAAATTATTTTTATGCAAATGTATTATCATTAGAATATGTTTTGTGCATAGAAATGAAAATTGCAGACAACTTTTCATTGTTTTAACTTTGAACAAGGGATTCTGAAAATTCCCTTGTCGTAAAGGTGAGGAAATCCAGAATGTTGTGGTTTTCCAGACATACATTGTATGTCAAGAAAAGCAAAAGCTTAAAACGACAACACTTTTGGACGGCCCGCCATCTTTGCTGCTGTTTGACAGAGAACGAAGAAATGAAAACAGAGAACGCCATAATTTTTCCCAGTGTGATACCCTTTACCACTGAGTTACTATAGTTGCATTTTCCTCCAGTCTCACTAAGTGCAATCTGGCATGGCAGCGTTCTCTCTCGCCACACAATTTAGCTGCTGGTAAAACTCGGATCAACTCAAGGACTATTCCCATTTGGTCTAGGGTGCACTGTCCATGATGTGCAGTGTAGTAAGAGTTTTTAAAAACTATTGAAAGTAAAGTTGAATAGTTAGAGATGTTTAATAGAAAATAATCATCCACTTCTGAATTGTAATTTCAGCGTCAAAAATCACGGAGTCTTAGTTTACTGGCAAACAGCCTGTTAAAATTAAATGAGGACTTATGTTGGGGTCTCCGAAGAAACAAATATTTTGATGATAATTGGGTCATTATTTATTGTAAGCCCGCTGGGGCGTTTATAAATTATTTTATCATCAAAAAATCTGCAATATATATATATATATATATATATATATATATATATATATATATATATATATATATATATATATATATATATATATATATATATATATATATATATATATATATATATATACATACAGGTATATGCAGTAAGCGGTTATGATTCGTTGATCGTATGTTTGCACTTGGTTGCTGATGCTACTCCCACTCATTTGCCCAACCAATAGAAGTACAGAATGAAGCCGGTGTAAATTTGTTTTTCTTTGAGCTTAAAATCTTTCTTGGTGTGGAAATTTTCTGAACCGGTACAACCTTCCCCTCCCCCTCCCCCTATCAGTCCCCCTCATTAACACATTGGGCTTGTTGCAGGTGCTGGACTACGAGGGTCGAGGGGGCGTTACTGTGATCACCAAGGCTAGCACCAACACCATCAGCCACCTCCTCATGAGGGATGCCAGGCCCGAGGACTCTGGCGTGTACTCCTGCAGGCCTTCCAATGGCGAGGACGCCTCCGCTACCCTTCACGTCCTCAATGGTTAGTATACTAACATAATTCATGTATATATATTTTTTATTGTAGAAGTCTAAGGGGATAGCAGCTGGGGGATAGGCTTATATATTTTTGCCATCCTCAAAGTGTTTATTATATTCGTGAACCAGTTGCAGTTATATATGGTCAGCTGATCTTTGTTAGTAATACTGATGAACTTTCCGGTAACTTAAACTTACAATTAATTATATAAGAATGTTTGGGCATCCATCGATACTTGGAAATTCCTGAAAATCCATTAAATCTTATACAGTAGAATAGCTACAGGAAGATGTCTTATTTGAGGTGATAACTGTCACATCTTTCAGAACACCAGGGAGAATCACCATCACCATCATCTTCGTCGTCGTCGTCGTCGTCGTTGTCGTTTTATGGCCATTTACCGCGCTTGCATGGGTTAGCCGCGATTACCTGATGGCAGCTCTCCATACTGCACGGTCTCTTGCAACCTCTCTCATCAGGTTCTTATCTCTGAGGTCATTTTTTTCAACGTCTCCCCATGCCATACTTTCATAGCTGTTCTTTAATGCCATAACCATTCGAACAAGACACTCCTCGACCCCTATCTTTCTCATTGCCTAATGGTACCTTGTCAAATGCCTACTGTAAGTCTACAAATTCAAAGTACAGCTTTCCTTCTTTCCTCAGATATTACATCTGTAGTCCTCATACCCAGCATGAACCCAAACTTCATTTCATTGATGCCCACTCTCCCTTATTAATTTCTCGATACTCCACAATTTTCATAACCTGATGTAACCGTTTCAGGCCCCTATAGTTCCCACATATAAGTGAATCACCTTTTCCCTTTGTAAGTACTGTATTCACAATCATGCTCTTCAGCCAGTTAACTGTAACATTACATTCCATCTTAAATTGTATTAATGAATTCTGTCATCATGGACACGCCAACATCATAAGATCCGTTCAGGATTTCCGCATGTGTTCCAGGACTTCCAGCAGCCTTTCCATTCTTCAATTTGTCACTCGCTTTCTTCACACAGTCTCTTTCGGGATTTGGGGAGTGTTCCTTTATTGGTTTTCCTGCTCCTATAGGCTGCCCCCGTCCCAATCAAGCTCCTCATTCAGCAGACGAGCATAGTATCTGTATTATTTTCCAAGCATCATGATATCTTCATCATACAGCCATATTACCACAGTCATTTCTCACGTACTACTCACCACCTACTTCCTTGCTTCTACCCATTGTTTGCCTTGCTTTTCTGTATACCATACCTCTAGCATCCACACTATTCACCACATCCTGTTCACGCTTCTTAAGCCTAGTAAAAAAAAAATTCTGGCCCTGCGTTTGGCTCCCAGGCAGACCTTATGCATTCTCTTCTTTATCACTGTTCAATTCATCATTCCACCGCCACGTTACTGCATACCTTGCCTTGACGTCTGTAAATAAGGTAGAGGGTAATTGCTTGTAACGCTGAGTGGGAGGACAGGAATTAGGATTGGAAGTACTTTGGTGGCAATTTGGGGGAGGAGGGATTGGGGTAGGATCAAGGAAAATGAGGGAGGAAAATTGAAGGAAAGTAAGAGATTGACTGCATACCTTGGCTGAGCCCTTCTTCCAAACACACATCTTGTCAGTCACACTTAACAGAACATCCTTTAATATCACTGATCGTTACTACTCTTCTCAACTCAGCATGAAATGCTTCTTTTTCACTCTGATCTTTCAATTATCTCACTCTCCGTCTGGGAACATACACCTTCTTCCTTCCCCTGCACAATTTAAACACATCACATGCAAGTAATCTGGGCTACAACACACATTCGTCCCCTGCTCTCACTTTGCATTCCTAACAAGCTTCCTGTTTGATTCCCTGGCAAGTATGTAGTCAATCTGTGTTTTTGTGCCACCTGACTCGTACAGTACTGTATGTGATCATCCTACTCACCTTCTTCTTAAACAATGTACTGTACCGTATTACATTCCTCTACATTCCATGCACCCCCAAATTCAAGTATGCTTCCGCCTTCAGTATACCCTTAAGCCAAAGCTTGTTCCACCAAGCACACCTTCGTGACTTGATATGTGTTCACCAGCATGGCCGTTTAGGTCATCGCCCAGTGCTACAATATCCCTTCACCACACACTGACACTACATGCAGTAACTCATCCCAGAACTTGTCCATCTCTCCCTAACGTGGTCCAACCTGGTAGTCTTCGTTATCGGGTTGAATTCATTGCATTTGTTTTCTGCTTTTTGGAACTGTTATCATCATCAAGTGGTGAAAGTCATATTAATCTGATCATGTGAGATTGTTGTAACATTATATAAATTTATTTTACTAAGCAGTTTAATATTTTTTCTCCACTTATATGGTAATCTTATACAGAAATGCACTCGTAAGTTAAATTAAATTTTTATACACACTTTAATGATTTATATGTTTCATTTAGTACTACAGGGCATCAATAGTTGCAACCAAAGATTTCCCTAACACTCGGCAGTATCTGGCATCTGTTGGTCATATATGTGATTGGTGTATAGTTGATGACGCTGATTTTCAATATAAATTATGTCAAAATAACAACATCAGAAAAAAATTTATAAAAGAAAAATAAATAAATAATTTTCATATCACAATCGCATCCATGTGTGCCCCGGAAACTTTGTCCACAACTTTACACAAGACAGTACTGTAAGGCACAACCCTACTACCGTAAACATAGTAGTACCCCGGTCCACCATCAATCTTCTAAATGTTATCCTCCTGCTGTTAATTAGTGGCAATCGTAAAGGCGTTTTCTCAGGGTTAAAGTGAGCCATGTTCAGAGTTTCGTAGCAAAACACATGTAACACCAAAAGGCACTGCTAATGTTACTACTGTTGGTCTCTTTGTATGTTGCTGAGTTGTAACTTTATTAAAGTAACAAACCGTAGACACACGTACTCATAATATACCATTTAAGTGTCTAGTTGTTATGCGTGGCAAATTTTATCCCAAACCATTATAACCATCCATCCATCCCTCCTTGATTTTCTGTTATCGCTCAATGCACGAAGGTCACTTAAGAATTTTTAAATCGATTTCTGCACAATTTTACACGATGATAAAACAATGTTACATAAGAACTGGTTTTGGGGTTTATAAAAAAATATCTGACTTGCAGAGGATGTGTATTGTTCGAGTGGTTATGGCATTATAAAAGGGCTCAAAAACCTCAGAGTAAATGGTGAGGAATCTGAAGTAAAAGTAGAGGTCCATCAGGGTTCTGTCTTGAGCTCCCTTCTATTTACCATAGGGCTGGAGGCAATATCATATGTTGATGACTCAGTGTTGATAGCAGATAGTATTGAAGAGGCCGTGCAGAAATTTAAGAAATTGAAAGATGGAATAGAGGCAAAGGGTCTGAGACTGAATGTGGCGAAAACAAAAGTATTGATTCATAGTGTGGTGTGGGTGATGGAAAATGACATGGGTTGTCTGTAAAAAATATGTTGACCGCAACCCAGTAATGTGCCTCGAGTGGACAGTGAGTACACAAGAGATACAGTGAAGTAAATAGCGTGTGCAGAACACTTTGGTCATATAATTAGAGATAGGGGGAGAATAGCAAATATTAATGGGCAAAGTTGAGGGTAGCAGGACCAGTGGAATGCAAAGACTGGGATGGATGAGTGAAATTAAAAACTGGGTCCCCAGAGAGATACAAAACCTTGAAGGATTGGTAAAAACATCCTGAGAACGTTTAGAATGGAGGAATGTGGTCGCCTTTACTGACGGCAACAGGACCTTCCTTCCGAGTGAAAGGGAAAATGCACGCTTGTTATTGTTGTTGAGATTATCGGACCGTAGTCTGACACGGGCCTTTGCCTGTAGGCGACCCGTTTGGTGGTTCCGTCTGGAGCTCTTGGAGCAGCCAGACCGGATTAACGATTTGGGGATGGAAGGTGTCCTACCTGCAGATATGAAAAGATACTACAGGTTTGCAAGTGTGAGCGGACCCTCGGTCAGTGAACGCTTGCCACCAACTCCTCCCCCCCACCCCCACTCCTGGACGTGGTCAGTTTCGGAGTGGCGCGACCCCGAACCGGGGTCCGCACTTGCTGGGGGAGGATACTTCTTAAGGTATCTGGGTGGTGGATATGATCGCTTTGTGGGATGAGACCGCTGGTGTTGTGTGTTCTTGGAAGTTTCGAATTTGTTTCGGAGACTTTGTGTGACTTCGCAGTCGAGAAGATAGTGTTCCAGTGGGTTGGCCGCTGGCTCTTGACAGTAGGTGCATTCCCTGACGACATTTCCGATCGTCTGCCAGATGCACTTGTACCCTAGTCGTAGTCGTTGAAGGCTAACTTGGGTTTGTCCTGGTGTTTTCTTGTCCGCGTATGGTGGTTCCCCTTTTGCAGCCACCAGGTACCATTTAACTGATTGGAACCAGCGTTGAATGTGTCAAGGAAGCTCTTTTGAATGTGGAGCTTGGCATTCTTTCTGAGGTGGTTCTTGATCTGTTGCACGCTTGCTGAATCTTGAATGTGTACGCTTCTAAAACGTGTGGCTGCCTTGGCTACTTCGTCTGCCATGTCATTTCCCTTGATCCCTACATGACTGGGAATCCAGTGTAAGACGACTGGGCGATTTTGTCTTTGAAAGTCCTGTAGCTGTGCGAGGATCGAGGTTATGTTGTGGACGTTGTCTCTTGGTTGACTGTGTTACAGCACCTGTATTGCCGTTTTCGAGTGTGTGATGTTACGTGTCAAAGGGGAAAGGCTCGTAACAAACAAAAAGTGAATGTATTTAAAGAGAATTCCAATATATTGTTCTTAAATTTGTATTGAGAACAACTCCAACTACGGTGTAATGTATGGATTAAATGCAGCCCCTTTTATTAAATGAATACTTGATGATTGGAGTAAAGAAACTTAAATAAAAAGTATAACTATATTTACAAATACTTACCCTAAAAACAAAGACATAAAGCTAATCACATGAACATACTAGATTACTTTAAGGTTGCCAATATC